AGCAAGATATGTAGCCATGTTCTAAGAAATAGACAGAAGTTCAGCAAAACTCAATCAGTCGTAATCTTTTAGAAGTACGGTACCTACGTGAAACAATGTTTGTTACGAAATGAAAGGAGATGTGCACTGAGTTAATACAGTTAGTCGAACAAGTTTTGGCCATCAATAGTTAGTGGAAGTGTAATGTTATTAGAGTTAGGTGTGAATTTGTATTAGGGCTCGTACACAAAACTGGGATGCGACGTCGCATCGCAAAAATGTGCGAGCTCCATCTACGCATTCATATCGCGCTTCAAAATCTTATCTTCCAAAATCTTCTTTCTTTCTTTTTCCTGTATATCCTAAGCAATAACAGAAGTGCACACTTAGTCTTCTTTTTACGGTCCATGTCACGATATAGTTTTCAATTTAAAAAACGTGTATAGTACGGTTGATGGTCGTCGAAGGAATGGTCACCTCGGGAGACGCCTTGTCGCACGAAATCGCGCAGCGCATCGTAATTTTTTTGTGATGAGAATTCGCATCGCATCGCATAGCAGTTTTGTGTACGAGCCCTTAAGCCCTGTATTTCTTAGTTAGATATAGAATTAATGTTTAAATTTTCAAAGCAATGGATGTTTTTAACAGAACTAGCTGCTTCTGCGCAGTGTCTGGTCGGCGCCTATTGATCGTTGATGATGATTTATAGCCTAACAAATAAATATTCTGATTCTGGTTCTGATCCTATAGTCTCTCTCGATAAATGCGATATTCAATACAAAAATAATTTTCAAATCAGTTCAGCAGTTCCTGAGAATAGCGCGTAAAAAGAAACAAACACAAATAATATAAATGTGAAAGTTTCTTTGTTTGGACGTTTGTCCGTCAATCATGCTAAAACTAATAAACGGATTTTGATGAAATTTGGTATACAGGCAGGGTATGGGCGCCGTCGCGGGAGACACTTCGGGCGTCGGAGATCGCGAGCAAGGTTAGCTCGCCGCCCGACCAGAACCGTAAGTGCGTACGGCGGGTCGCGTTACGCGAGCGTCTCAAAGATCCATCAGACCACCATAGATGGGGCCCAGTAGGGCTGATGCCGGATACCGAGTCGCAGAGGCCTAACGGGTTGCCGATTCTCCGGCTCGGAGAGCAGGAGTAAGAACGGGGTGGTTTTTAGTCAGTAAGAGTCTGATACTCCCTTTCGCCTAACCCAAGATAGGAGAAGTCATTGAATAATTTTCCCCTTCGAAAAAAAGGCAGGATATAAAAGCTGACTTAGGTGATAGAACACTTTTTATCTCGATTAAGTGAAATAAAACAGGAATCATATTCGACCTGAACAAAGTCGCGGGCAACAGCTAATTAGATATAACATAAGGTACTTACAATAGGTAATCATTATAAACAGCTATCATTGGCATGCTAATTTATAAAAAAATAATAATTTATGCTTGTTTAGACGGAATTCATCGCGTGAATAAAACAAAGATTAATTGACATAATAACTTATTTATTTACCAATCACATGGACACTTTTCTCAATAATAATTCAACATTTTCATAAAAACTTATTTCAACCAACAATTTATTAGTCTTGTTATATATACCCACTGGTGAGAGTGACAAAACTTTTCTGTTATTATTACCATACTAATTCTCTGCGTTTTCAGCTGGTTTTGGCATCCATTCTAATTTAAACTTCGGTTGATATTTAAAAAATAACTTAAAAGGCACGCCATTAGCTTTTACCTCAGGATCTAGTCGTGTCAAATCTTTCTTCTGCGTATTCATTTTGTATTGAACCAAAGGGCAGTAATGATCCCAATGAGTATCGTTCTCCATAGTAGCCCAATCTTCGAGTTCATTCAAAACCTCGGTTTTGTCTGCTTCAAAAACTTCTTTATTATGTGACAGTAAAATCTCCGGCATCTCTGGCACCGGATTGATAGCATGAACTAATCTCAACGTTTGCGTGTGAAGTTCTAATTGATCTGCCACCACGATTTGTTTCGGATAATTGAATTCAACAAAGATTCTCATCAGTTCCAATGCTATTTCTTTTAAGGCGGGATACAATGCTCTCAATATAATAAAGTTCGTTGCATCTTCCTTTAAAATTAGTAATACATATTTTACTTTATCATTAGGTGTGAAAAATGGTAATCTTTTTTCGTCTTTAATTATGTTCATTCGCCATACTCCTCTACCCAGTTCAAAAGCAGTCTTAGCACAAACACTACACGAGTCGATTACTGCATCCACACAAAACTTAGCCACAGAGTACTGGTTTGACAGAACTCCTTGCGTGGTAGTTACGTCTCCGTGCATACATTGTAAATGTGCACGTAATATAGTATCAAATGCATCTTCTACAGTAAGAATCTCCATTAACACCGTGGGGCTTACCTTCTTATACAACCTTAATTTGCCATCCTTTAAACCCGCCACCATATTTTCATCGCTCTTCGGATTCAGAATTAAGTCCTTGATTTTTGTTTTAATTTGATCTGCCGAGCAAAAATAACCTTTTTGAAGCCAATCCTTATTTGCTTCAATCATTTGTGAATATATTCTTTTAGTTTCTTCGTAATCGGCGCTACTCATTTCAAGGTTAGACTCCATTTTGTTGTCACTGTACGAAGCAAAATAGCAATACACAACACATTCGTATTGAACGCGCGCTCGCGTGGTACTAACGGAGGGAGGGCGGGGCGCGGGCCGGGCGCGCCAACGCCATACGAGTCGAGACGTCGTGTGCGTGAAAGAGATAGCACGGTACTTTTATGAGACGGATGGAAGAAAGGGACGCAAGCGCCATGCGTTCGCGTTATCAACAGACCGCTGTTTGTTCTATAACGAAGCGTAAACAACGGTCCATATTGCCGATGGATTTTATTTATTGTTGTTGTTTTATTTATAAAATAATAAAAGTTTAGACGTAAGTACGCGAGACACAATGCGTTTTATATTGTGTCTCATATATCGACTGACAAGAGATTATGTAGATACCTAACTTACTTAGATACTTAGTTAGTTATGTGAATGTTAAATCCTTGAAATAACAACATGAAAGGTACACAAATCATAGACATACCAGCATCTGTACTTAGGTACTTATAAATAGTAATATTTTTAGCACAGCAAGCCAACATCCGTGACATTACCTAGTAGTGGACATACCCATTACCTATTTCGCAACAGCATTCTCGAGGGAATGAACAAAGATAATACCAATGCCACACACTTATTCTTCCACGCAATGATAAATGGAATGTCCTTACGTTTCTATAGGTAGGTAAGTAAGATACCAATGTTTATTTATTTTAAGTTGTTCATGTATTTTCGACTTTTTGACGATATAGTTAAAACTAGCTGTTGTCCGCGAATTCGTCCGCGTAGAATATGATTACTGTTTTATCCCTTAGGAGCATTAATTTCATTTGAATAAAGGTATTTATCATATCACCAAAGCCAGGTTATAGTCTGCCTGCATATCAAATTTCATCAAAATCCGTTCAGTAATTTCAGCGTTATTGACGAACAAACATCTAAACAAAGAAATATTCACATTTTATAATATTTTATTATTGTGAAAACATAATGAATAAATCTCAATTCAGTTTTTTTAGTTCCTGTCTGTCCCTTTAATTTAAAACGATTTAATTTTAGTTTAGTTTATGATGTATCTTACTATACATATACCTACTTCATTGTTTCCTTGTTATATATTCATGTTAATATTATGTATAGTCTGTGGTGATTTTAATTTCACCTCCTACATTAATTACGGTAATATATCGTACCGAAAATTTGTTCTTACAAAAATAGTCTCTAAGCATTGGAAATAAGGTCTACAAAGGAGTTAGTGGAGAGCGGTCACCGGTGACCGCTTGGAGGTTTAGTAAAGATAAAAACTCTTTGAAGATGCATGTCATTAAATTGAATAAATACAAATTGTTATTATCATATTTTCAACGCCTGAAGAAATTATAATTTACTAACATTGCTTGCGTTATAAAATTGCTATCAAATTTTTTGTAGGTGCAAAATATATTGTTATAATTTTGAATGTTGTTAATTTTATATACTGTTATTGTCGGCGCATTAGTATAGCCATCGACCATAGAGGCGGCGACGCGCGGGACAGGGGTATAAAATCAACGGCCGCGCGAGTGCCGCGCTTCTTCATCCACACACGCCAACCATAGCATTCGGGCATTTCTTTGTATCGGTGCCAGCCCGTCTTGATTCTGATTATGTAATAATTAAACCTATTAATTGTGCAGTCTTCTGTTTTAATTTAAAATAATCCGACATAGCTACGACAGTAATTATACTAAGAAATATCAATGTCTTGTCCCGCTTGTGGTTGAGTGGCCACAAAGGCGACTGTAGAGGCAGAAGACATGACTAAAGGGTTATTGGATATTAGGTCTTGTGATGATTTTCTCATTGATCGCTATGTGCCTTTTAAAGGGGGGAAAATCATCGAATGACATCTCCCACCTGGTTGTAGCGGGAGGAAGTGTCCGACTCTTACTGACTAAAAACCACCCCGTTCCTACTCCTGCACTTCGAGCCGGAGCCCCTGTAACCCGTTAAATTCTCCGCAGCTCTGTATCGGCGGCATCAGCTCTATTGGGCCCCATTCGTAGTGGTCTGGGGGATTACTCTTGAATCCAATTCCGATCGATTGACATTGATATTGTGAAATTTCGTAGGTACTCTTGAGTTGCAACACCAACGCCCATTGCATCCGTATTGCGTGGATATTTAAATTAACTAAATGGTATTTGGTTTGGCTTTATATTCCGTACTCTCAATGGTATTTTAACAGCTACGATGGGTTGTATAGTTTTGACATTAAATATTTATTGAGAATCTAATTTCTATAGGGTTGAAATTGCATTGATATTGAGATTGGTTTCAAGAGTAAGCACCCAGTGTGCGGCGCGCGCGGAACGCGACGCCGACGCACCGTACGCTCGGGTCTGGTTCTGGTCGAGCGGCGAGCCACCCATGCTGCCGTAGTATAACTAAAATGCCGTTATCCAACATCTGGTCGATTCTCAACTTTTGATGCTATATTAATGAGAAAAAAAAAACCTATCGATCTGTGTTTACGAATTTTCGATATCTTGAATAGTTTTGAAAATAATAATTTAAAAAATGTCGTTAAGTACATATTTGTCACGTGCGAAATAAGCAAAAATGACATTAAGTAACTTTATGAGTCTATAAAGCCGCTAAGGTTCATTTACACATATTTTTATTATAAAAAGTATATATGGTTACTTGTCTTAATTGCCGTTAGGAGTCTATTGTACACTACAAAGCAGTTAAGGTACTGTAACTGTTTTATAGGATTTTTTTTTCAATAAAGGAGTTCGCTTTTTTTAAACTATAACGTCGTTAATCGAAAATGATAGACTTAAACTTGACTAACGATGTTTAACGGCATTATTGCTTATTTTTGAGGTACTCGTATTTTGATTTAACGTACGTAGAAGCCTATAACGGCACTTACAAAACTAATAAAAAATGTATTGTCCGTCATTATTAGACTAAAATGACGTTATCTCACACTAATACACTACAAAGCCGTTAACTGATCTCGCGCGGGGCGGGGGGACACCGGCTACGTAACGATCCTGTACCGAAATCAAGGGGCGGGGGTGAAACTAGTGCATCGCCGGGAGCTTGTGGGTGAGGACGCGTGCGCTCCGGGTTTGTTCCCGCCAATTTTGCAACGATCGCGATATGGCGAACCACCAATTTAGGTAAGTTAGTTTTTATTTACTTTAGTTCAGAATAATGTTGAGTTTATTATGAATAGGTAAGGTACCTACTTTACTTTTGCACTTTTATTGATATAAACATACAAAATAGTTTGCTTGCTAGTAAATCCTACTTATATTATCTATAGGTATATATAAAAATGAAACCCGCTTCCCGTTGTCGCGCCATAACTTGAGAACGGCTAGACCAATTTGGCTGATCTTTTTGTTGTTTGTTATTGTCAGGAGAAGGTTCTTAATGCATAAAAAATCCTGAAATACCTACAGGAACAGGAGAAAACGGGATCTATATTATTTTTTATCGCATTATTATATGTTCAGATGATCATGTTGTCGGGCATGATCTTGTGATGTGTATGTTCATGAGATAGTTGCTTAAACATTTACATACATTTACTTAGGTACACACACTCAACAATTTATTTTCTTGTTACAGAAACTCTGGGAGCAGAGCCAAAACTATTTTAGGTATGGTTAAGGAGGAAAAACCAAACCAAACCAAACCTACAAGAAAACCTGACCCTGCTCAGGATATGAAAAAACCGAAACAACCCAAATCTAAGAAGATATAATGTCAGCATTTTATAATTTTCTATTGCGTAACAGAGATGTTGAAAAAGTACACATCTAGCTTGATAACTGTAGCTCACAAAATAAAAATTGGTTGTTGTATGCGATGCTCACTCATATGATTAATAGTGAATAAATCTATATTACTTCGAACCCGGCCACACTTTTATGAGCTGCGATCAAGTACATCACCAGGTAGAGTTAGCTATGAAGAAAAAGGGTAAGCTTTACGATTTTACAGATTTCGAAGAGTGTGTATCATCCATAAATAAATCAAAAGTGATCGTTCAGTCTATGTTGCCAGAAAACTTTTTAAATATATATAGAAGGATTCAAACATCCAATCCAAGAGCTTATTTAAAAAATATAGTTGAGGTATGTTTCGTACGTAAAAGTTATGATCTTATGTATAAAAATAATTTCGATGATGCATCATATACAACTCTTCGTTTCATGAACGATAGATATTTAAAAAACCCACGTACAATGGTATTTAAATTTAGAACCGAACCGAAAGGTATCGAACCTAAGAGGAAAGCAGATTTACTTAAAAACCTATCGAACATAATTCCCCCTCATAAATTGTTATTTTGGAAAAACTTACCAACAAGAGAAATTGAGCATTCCGGTACAAGTCCTGATTAGAATAATAATATAGAGTAGTGCCAGTTTATTGAGACTGATTTCAACTAAATAATTATTTTAAATTTTGTAATGTAACTGTGATACGATTTTGAATACTGTGTTTTTAAGAATTTATAAATTTTATAAATTTTAAGGTTTTAATAAACGTAGGTAAAAAGTAAGAACTAAAATTTAAATAAGGAAAATTGTTTTTCGTTTTTGTTTTTCAGCTGTTGATGATTTTTTTTTAAATGATAAGTACTAGAAATATAAAGTTTTAAGTTCAAGGAGAAGATTAGACTTAGTTTTGATTGTTTGTTATCTCAGGTTTAATGAAAGACTGAAGTTAGTATATAAAAATTTTGTTTTATGTTATCTTATTTTAAAGTACAAGTAGTACATAATTATATTGCTAAATATCTGATGTGATTCTTGTTTGAAAGTTCCTAAAAAATCTAATTATAAGTAAAGTTTTGTGAAAGTTATTAGTTTAAGCATAATTTGCATATTATTATAAAAGCAATAAAGAAATATAGTCAATAAAGACTAGTTGATTGATAATACTATGACTTTTATTTAAAAATTATCTTTAATATCAATAAATTTAATTCATTTTGTCCAATAAAATTATTCACTATTTTTTTTTATTATTAAGCTATAATGTCGTTAAACTGTAAGGTTTTTAGTTAAACCACGTTTTAGCTAAACAAGGATTCAAGTTTATCCTTTTAATTAATACGCATCTAAAGGTTACCAGACTTAAAAGCAGTAAAGTAACGTTAAACGCACTAAAGTTTAACATGAATAGTTCTATAATATATTAATCGTAAGCTAAATTGCCGTTATGCGCAAATAACAACATTTTAGTTAATCATTGAAGTGATGAAATTTTGCATTTTAAAAATCAATAATTTGCTATGAAATAGATATACTTAAACGCCGTTACGCTTTACGCAGCGGCGTTTTAGTCGATGATCTGTTAAGATTTCGGTTACGTCTCTGATGAACAAAAACACAAAAAAACGCTTTTCATTAAATTAAATTATATTTACGATATGATAGGATAAGTAGTTCGAAAGTATGCGATTTCATATATGTTTTGGTACTTCCAAATCTCTGATATGTGTTATCATCGAAAAACTACATCGGTTTGAAAATTTGCCGCCGTTTTTTTGCATTATTAAAAAAAATGACTTTCGCAGATAACGGCATTATAGTTATACCACGGCAGCATGCTCGCCGTACGCAGGCCCGCGCTTACGGTGGTCGGAGATCGTCCCGCGATTCTCGACGCCCGGAGTGACCTTCGCATCACTATGTGCCTTGAATTATGCCAAGTGTGAGATAACATAGTTACTCATATTACGTGGAATTCATTAGGCAACTAATACTAGCAATAAGTAAACGTTACACTGATGGTACATAAGATATGCACCGTGGCTTTTCATCAAAACCACTTGTATTTTTATATTTTCAATAAGCTTACCTGTACTTCAAATCTGGCGATACAGCTGTGGAATGAATATGGGTCAAATTTGAATAAAACATGGCGAACACGAGCCGTCTTTATGGTTTTGTATTGGGAGCGAGCCTTACGTCATTCTGTGTAAATATCTTATTTATGTATATGTGTACCTACATGTATGTGTATGTATTATGCGAACCTACTTACGTCTATGTAGGTAGGTAGTGAATGTAGATCGATTTGTGTTTCATTTTACTGACTGCTGCAAAAGGATTTTTTCTTTGAACGATACTTTGTTGTTTTGGATAGGTTTAAGCAAGATGTCGTTAAGTTACTATTACACAAGTAGTGTGGGAGAGCCATACTTCGGGTCGAACGGCTGGACCAGAGGAGTGATACCACGGGCTCACAGAAAACTGACCTGAGGCCCAAATACCCCCATTTCAATTATTCAATTTAATCGGGTACTTGCCTTCATCAAAAATAAATTATTTCGACTGTACAATACAATAAAATATTTAAAAATAATCACACTTTCATTAATTGATTTTATGACCAACTTTATTTTAGTATTTTTTCAGCAAATTTTTAATAAATAAGTATGCTGTTTGACGCTAAAAAACATGACGTCACAATACACAATCGCGTACAAAATACATAGAAAACTATAGTTTTTGACAGTTCGAAAAAAGTATTGAATTTGACTAGTTGACAAGTACCCAATTAAAAATTGAGAAGGGGGGGCATTTCAATCTTTTTCCAGATCCGAAACAACAATTTGTGGATCACACAAAGAGTTGCTCCGTGCGGGAATCGAACCCGCGACACGTTGCACGGCAGTCGGTGGTCTAGTAACTGCGCCAACCGTGCCGTCGTTTACGTGAGTAACTCGTGGATAATATAGTTTTATATTGAGATATCAATAATCTTCCCATTCACAGATCTCATTAGTACCAATTAATCTACACTAATATTATAAAGAGGTAAGATTTGTACCTATTTTTGTATGTTTGTATGTTTGTATGTTTGTAATGAATGGCTGGCTCAAAAAGTACTGAGCCGATTTAAAAAAATATTTCACAAATAGAATGCTACATTCTTCCAATTTGACATTGGCTACATTTGATTTTGAAAAAATTTAGGGATCCTTGGTAAAATTTGAACAATGTTACTGAAGGTGTAGAAAAATGAGTCTTAAAATGTCTTTCGTCAAATACGCTGCCGAAACTATTAGCGATAGAACAAAATAATGTATAACAATATTGAAGAACATCATAATGTTTACAAAAAACTCCGCGGTAGCATATGTCCAACTATTGTAGTTATGTCACAACAACAATTCAAATTTCCAAAACTAAATTTAAGAATTGTCTCGCCGAAGCCGGTACGGGCTGCTAGTAATTCATAAATACATAGGATACTCGCTAGATCTATAATTCTTAGTAATTTTAGTGTATCAATGTCCTGTACATGGTAATAGACTTACTACTTACCTTACCCCACTTTCGTAGCTTAGAACTCATTACACAACTAGCGAAAATCTGTAGGTACATATTATAATAAAATCGTAGAAAAGTGAAAATTTTTTTAAAGAATGCTTTGGACGTGATCTACAGTCGATATCGAAGCTAAAAATATGGTTTTTAAAATATTTGTCTGTTTGTCTGTATGTCCGAGATGAACTCAAAAAGTGCTGCATTGATTTATTTCAAACTTTGCATGAATATTACAGACAGGTCGGGTCAACATATATAGGCTTCTTTTTTTCTTTTTTTAAGGGGGGAAAATCATCGAATGACTGCTCCCGCCTGGGTGAGGCGGGAGGGAGTGTCAGACTCTTACTGACTAAAAACCACCCCGTTCCTTCTCCTGCACGTCGAGCCGGAGCCCCGGTTATCCTTCAAAACATAATATATATAGGCTACATAGATAATAATAATATTATCATGTTATCAACTACGGGGGAGGAGCTGTGAATCACTATTCCGCGCGGATGTAGTCGCGGGCTCAGCTATTTGTAAATAAGTTAACCTATGCATAATGTTATGTAAGTATGTATAATTTGTACTCATGATGCACATGAAGAAATAACTTTGGGAACTTAAACTGTCAAACACCAAGCGGTCACCGGTGACCGCAACCTATTGTTCTATAATTGTGTATATAATGACGGTACTCGACGAGTTAAGTACCTCTAGACTTATTTTATTTGGTATAATATACCTACTTATGGTTAACCACACAGCGATACACATGAAAGCATACAATGAATAAATAAACGTAATATTCAATGAAAAATCCTTTCCACCATTAGGGTAAGCATCATCATCAACAGCCTATAAATGCCCATTGCTGAGCAAAGCCTCTTTTCACATGGAGGTTTAAGCATTAATCACCACGCTTGCTCAATGCGGGTTGGCTATTACAAACTTATAATTAGAAATTGTAAGTCCAGGTTTTCTCAGGATGTTTTCCTTCACCGTTTGTCAGTGGCGTGTAGAAATCTTAGAAAGTACATAATTATAATTCGGAAAAAGTCATATTGGTACTTGCTGTTAAGGTAAGCATACGAAAAGTAATCTAAACCAGCAACGGTTTATAATTTAACATAGGTAATATTAATAATGTTTAAACTTTGATTGTAACATTATATTTTATGGTCGAGGAATTTTGGATGGTTGGGAAGGGCGTAATAATAATTTAGACGTTATTTCACGATGTCTGTAAGTACCTGGTTTTGTTTTGCTGTAAACCAAAGTATTTATGAATTATATTCAATAAAGTTTTATTTAATGCCGGCCTCGTTGGCCGAGGGGTTGCAAGTGCGACTGCCGGGTAAGGGGTCTCTGATTCGATTCCCGATTAGGTCGGGGAAAATAGTACAGAGTTTAAAAAAAATCTGT